TCCCAGGCTGCAAGCAGGGAGCTGGATTGGAAGCGGGGCTGCTGGGATGTGAATTGTCACCGGTATGTGATCCTGGCACATGCAAGACAAGGACTTTACCTGTTAGACTGCCACACCGGGCCCCCAAAAGAACCACCTTTTAAAACTGATGCAGTAAGTCCTTACACAAAACTCGTATCACTGATATTTATGTGTTTGTGTGAGTCTTTAAACCTATACTTTCTTCTTTATTCAAATTCAGAATGAACTTTTTTATATTGCTTATTATTTTCATTGAGTTGAAGGGCAGAGAGAGACAGAAAGATATCTCCTGCTTGCTGATTAATTCCCCAGAGTGGGTGTAGCCAAAGCCAGGAACCTGGAAGTCCCTCTGAATTTCCCACAGGGGTTGCAGGTGTCCAAGCACCTGAACCATCATCCATTGCCTCCCAGGATGCCTTGGTAAGAAGCTGAATCAAAAGAGGAGTAGCGGGGACTCCAGTGGGACTCTCGAGATGGGATGCAGGCATCTCAATGGTGGCTTCACTTGCTGCACCAAAACAAACCTTTGCTTGATAGTGACTTAAGGGCAATATCCTAAAACATGGTATGATTTGCCAGTGTATATAAGAATTGCCATTTCAACTAACCTGTATTAGATTCTTTAAGATGTAAATCAATTCTACACAAAATGAAAACACATTTTTAATATTAAGTTGGTGTGAAAAGGAAAAAAAAAACAGTAGACAAGTTGAATGAGGCAGTTTTTTTAAGAAGGAAGAAGCACCAGCTCTAAGACCTCAGCACACTCTTTGTGGAAAGCAAAGAGAAGGGAGGAACAAAAACAGCTTCACCTGCTTGTTACAAAGTTGCCTGTCTTCCTGGAAACTTTTAGCTGTCTGCCAGGAAGAGAATCTGGGCTGATGTCATTGGCTGAGGCTCACCTGCTTGTTACAAAGTTTCCCAGCACAGGAATATTGCAGTCCACTCTCCCCCAGGCCACATTCCCTTTGTCTAACAACAGGGATGAAGACCCTTTGTCTGATGATTCACTCCTCAAGCGACCATAACAGCCAGAGCTGAGCAGATCCTAAACCAGGAGCCAGGAACTCTTGCATGTCTCCTACGTGGGTGCAGGGTCCCAAGGACTTGGGCCATCCTCCACTGCCCTCTGCGGCCACAAGCTGGGAGCTGGATGTGAGGCAGGGCCGCTGGGATTAGAACCAGCAACCATATGGGATCTCGATACTTGCAGGATGAAGACTTTAATAACTATGCTATCACACTGGGCCCAAGAGAAATACATCTTTTTAAAAGCCGCTTTATTTTTATTTGAAAGAGTTTTCTAGAGGAGAGAGAGAAAAGTCCACTGGTGCACTCCCCAAATAGCAACGGCCTGAGCTGAGCCCATGTATTACTTCCCTATTTCAGTGTATTCTGAGAGTTGATGGAATGGAAATTATTTGCATCTTTAAGTTGCTGCACGTGGATAATGTAGTGCAGTTCTCATGGTCATTTTCAACTCTCTGAAAAAGGATTCGAACCCAGAGGAGGATAACGCAGCCGTAGATCTGCATCACGGGCATTCTCCCATTTCTTTGCAAGAGCCCCTCCCCTGAATTCAGGAGCATTTCCCTCTTACAGAGCCTAGAATGCTGAGCTCTGGAAAGATCAAATTGTTTCATCATCTAATAGATGGCAGATAGAAGCATACAGTTGTAAAGATCTTACACGCCATGCCATCTCTCACTTGCTCCCCAGTGAGTTCAATTCCAGTAGTTATGCATATGCAGGTCTTTTAAAAGTTTATTTTATTGGAAAATCAGATTTCTAGAGAGAAGAGACAAAGCTCCTCCATCCACTGCTTACTCCCCAAATGACTGCAATGGCTAGAACTGAGCCAATCTAGAGCCAGGAGCCTCCTGCAGGTCTCCCACATGGGTACAGGGGCCCCAGGCTATGGACCATGCTCTATTGCATTCCCAAGCCATTAGCCTGAAGCTAAATGGCAAGTGAATCAGCTGGAACATGAACAAGCACCCACTTGGATGCTACAGTTGGAGGTGAAGGATTAGCCAGTTGAGCCATTGTGCCAGAGCCACATCTGCAGATTTCCAGAAATGACTACTTCTGGAAAGGCTGAGTGAGACAGAGCTCAAAGCTGCTGTTTTGTGGCTTTACCAGGCAGAGTGACAGAAGGAGGGAGACACAGATTACCATCTGCTGCTTCCTTTCCCATCTGGCTGCAGCAGCTGTGCCAGGCAAGCCGGCTGAAGCCACGAGCTCTTCTGGGTCTTCCATGTAACTAGTTGTTTGTTATATAAAAGCCACATTAACTTGTGGAGATTGTGTTAGTTTTGTTTGCACCCACTGTATTAGATTTCCTTACTGTTTTGAGTCATTTCTCATTTGCTTTCCTATTTTCAGGTTAAAGATAAGTATAAATACTAGTAACCATAAATAATGATCAACAATGTATACCTAATCATGATTTTCTTTTTTTTTTAAATATTTATTTATTTATTGGAAAGTCAGATATACAAAGAGGAGGAGAGATAGAGGGGAAGATCTGCCATCCGATGATTCACTCCCCAAGTGAGCGCAACAGCCGATGCTATGCTGATCCGAAGCCAGGAGCCCGGAACTTCTTCCAGGTCTCCCACATGATGCAGGGTCCCAAAGCCTTGGGCTGTCCTCAACTGCTTTCCCAGGCCACAAGCAGGGAGCTGGATGGGAAGTGGAGCTGCCAGGGTTAGAACCAGTGCACATATGGGATCCTGGCGTGTTCAAGGTGAGGACTTTAGCAGCTAGGCCACGCCACCGTGCCCATAATCATGATTTTCATGCCTCTTAGTATGTTCTCTTTTTTATTTCACTGGCTGATACAAGTTAAAAAAAAAGTAGTGACTGAATAGCAGGATCCTCATTGCAGTCTTGTCTTTCATGGAATGCCAGCAGAGGCTCTTGCTTTCAGCTGGGATTCAATGGCTTATGTTCAGAAATATTTAATCATCCTCATCAAAAAAAGGTAAATAAAATATAAGATTTTGGTGAGGGAGGGGGAGAAAACCACGGGTGGTAGACATCTAACTTGATTTCATTCTACTTAAATAGGCAGTTTTCTGAGCACCACTTATTGAACAGTCTGTTCTTATTTTTTAAAAGATCTATTTTTGAAGTCAAAGAGAGGAAGAGAAAAGAGAGGATTCCTTCATTCATTGGTTTGCTCCCTGGATGGCTGCAATGGCCAGCTCTGGGCCAACCCAGGGTCAACCCAGAGCCAGGAGCTTCATCCAGGTCCCCCATCTACATGGCAGGGACCCAAACACTTGGGCCACCTTCCACCCCTTTTTCCAGGCCATTAGCAGAAAGCTGGATTGGAAATAGAGCAGCCAGGACACTAACCAGTGCCGACTTGAGATACCAGTGTTATAGGTGGCAACTTTATCTGCTTTACCACACATTGTCCCATTGTCCTCATTTTTAAAAAAGATTTATTTACACAGGCTGGCACTGTGTCTGCACAGGCTAATCCTCCACTTTGTGGTGGCAGCATCACATATGGGCCCCAGTTGATGTTCCGGCTGCTCCACTTCCAATCTGGCTCTCTGCTTCTGAGGGAAAAGCAGTGGAGGATGGCCCAAGTTTTTGGGACCCTGCACCTGCGAGAGAGACCAGAAGAAGCTACTGGTTCCTGGCTTCAGATCAGCTCAGCTCTGGTCTTTGCAGCCACGTGGGTAGTGAACCAGCAGATGGAAGACCTTCCTCTTGCCTCTTTTTCTCTATAAATCTGCCTTTTCAATGAAAATAAATAAATCTTAAGAAAGGAAGGGAGGAGTCATGGCATGCTGGCCTAGCATCTAAAGTCCTCGCCTTGAATGCATAAGGATCCCATATGGCACTGGTTCTAATCCTGGCAACCCTGCTTTCCATCCAGCTTCGTGCTTGTGGCCAGGGAAAGCAGGCAAAGACAACCCAAAGCCTTGGGATCCTGCACCCTCACGGGAGACCTGGAAGAAGCTCCTCACCCCTGCCTTCATTCCGGCATAGTTTCATGAATTGTGGTGACTTGGGGAGTGAATCATGTAATGGAAGGTCTTCTTCTCTGCCTCTCCTCCTCTCTGTATCTCTTACCTTGCAATAAAAATAAATAAACCTTTCTAAAAGAATAGAAAGGAAGAAAAGACAAAAGGAAGACTCTAACATCCTTCTGTCTGGGCTCAGTACAAAGGGTTTCCCTTTCATGAAAGAGTTACACAGAGAGAGAGAAAATCCCCTTCTCATCACTGGTTCACTCACCATGTGGTCATCATGGCCAGAGCTGAGCTACTCTGAAGCTGGAGCCAGGAGCACCCTCCAGTTCTCTCATGTGGGTGCAGGGCCCTTGGGCCATCCTCACTGATTTCTCAGGCCATTAGCAGGAAGTTCAATGAGAAGTGGAGCATCTGGGGGCTCAGTGTGATGGTTCAACTGGCTAAATCCTCACCTTGCAAGTGCCAGGATCCTATATGGGTGTCAGTTCATGTGTTGGCTGCTGTGCCTCCTATAAGCAGAGAGCTGGATTGGAAGTGGAGCAAGCAGGACATGAACTGGTGCCTGTATGGGATGACAGTACTCTAGGTGGAGGCTTAGTCTACTACACAGTGGCACTGGCCCCATCCACTTTGTTTTAAGAAGTGTTCTTCTACTGGTTTATTCAACAAGTGCTGCAATATCCAGAGCTGAGACAATGCAAAGCCAGAAGGCAGGAGCTTCTTCCAGGTCTCCCACGTGGGTGCAGGGTCTCAAGGCTTTGGGCTGTCCTCTCCTGCCTTCCCAGGCCACAGGCAGAGAGGAATGGAGGAGCTGCCACTTATTCCTGGTTCCCAGGACTGGCCTGTGCTAGGGGATGCAGGCCCAGAGACTCTTTCTAAGGCAGCTGTGTTGGCATCAGCCTTCCTTTCACTTACAACTCACTGCTTCCAAGGGGGAGCAGGAGGGCTGTGTCTTTAATGAGAAACTGCAAAGGGAAGGAGGGAGGGACAGAGGCCTCGGCCAGAATCACTCAGCCAAGGGGCTCAGCCCAGAGCAACAGATGGCTCGTGCTCACTGGAGGCACTCAACTGTCTCTCTACTTTCTTCTGGTCCTTCATCTTGAGTCCAATGTCCACCCTTTTCTCAAAGAAGTTGACCAGCACAGACTCCGGCAGGATGGAGGCCAGGATCTGCTTGAAGGAGATGCACCAGTCTGCGTCCATGGTGTTCCCAATGCGGGCAGTGGCTGTGGGGTTCTCACACTGCAGGGAGCCCATGCTGACCACTGAGTAGGAGGACATGGATATGTTGTATTTGGTTTCATCATCAGACAGGAGCTGGGAGGGTGAGCCCTGCCCCTCTCCACTGCCCCCCTCTACCACCGTCTGTCTCTCCTGTGGCACTTTTCCAAGGTGGGTGTCTCCACCAGCTTTGGTCCAGGGGTCCCCCGTGGCTGTCAGCTGGCATTCCTGTACTGGGTCCTGATGGGATTCCCTTGCAGGTGACTGAGGGTCCCCCGTGGCTGGCACTCCTGTACTGGGTTCTGAGGGGGTTCCCTTGCTGGTGACTGGGGATGCCCCATGGCTGGCGGCTAGAGTTCCTGTACTGGGCCCTGAGGGGGTTCCCTTGCTGGCAGTGGGGACTCATCCTCGGTGGAACTGCACTGGTCCCTGCTGGGAGTGCCACCCGTGGGCTTCTTGACACTGGGACTGAAGAACTTCCCCACCTCACTGATGCGGAGGAGGCTGGCCACTGTGGCAATGGCGTGGTACAAGTCCTGCTCCAGGGGGTCCTCACTGAACATGTTGTATAGCGTCTTGCACAGCTCAATGAATTGCTCCTATCAAGGGGGAAGGCAGAACAAGGAGATGGTAAGATGGCCCTGGTGTTCATTCCATGCATGCTGCTGGCCACTGGAACTGGTGCCAGGATGTGGTCCTGTTTATCGGCGCCAGACTAGTGCTCTAGTCTTACTTCACACACGGGAATGTGGAGGCTCAGAGTCGGGAGGGACCTAAGCAGTCACTCTGCCCTGCCGGGCTCTCCCCCTGCAGTGGACAGCAGCTCTGAGCTGGGCTCTCTGCTCCGACATGTGGTTCTGCTGTTGGAGATGCATGGCTGTGTGAACCCGGCCTTGACCATGGCTTCCTCCCTGGGGTCTGGCCTCACCCTTGGCCTTCTAGCTCCTGGGTGAAAGCGACTTCAACTCTGACCTTCAGGGAAGCTCCCAGAGGGTGCTGCTGAGGGGGTGAGGGTGGTCTTGGGTCTCTAAACCACATCCTGGCCTGAGAGAGGGGTGAGACCACCCATTCCTCAGGCTGGAGAAGGCTTAGGCTCACAGGGCCCCTCTGGGCATAGCCAGGGCCAGCCCAGCCCAAGCACTAAGGGCAGGCTGTAGTTCAGGGACTGCCTCTGGCTACTTTCTGCAGCTGAACCCAGGGGTTGCCCCTTCCTGCCTGGGAGACCCTTGGGAAGACAAAGAAGCTGCTGTCCCCAGAGAGCAGGAAGTGGAGAGCAGACAAGCCTGTGTGCACAGGGTGCCTGGGCAGGGAGTGTGAGGAAGCAGCTGTGGGGTAACCTTCCCCAGGGCTGCTCAGACCTACCACTGTCCCTCCACCTGAACAAGCGGTCCCTGTGCAAATGGCCCCTGAGCAACAAGCTCCTGACTTTCCAGAATCCTCACTGGGACTCCTGGGCGCTCAAGTGAGCTAGTGAGTAATGAGTGCCACCCTGTGTGGACCCTGGGGCGTGGTGCTGACATGGCATGCTGGGCCCCGGTGTCCCTCAGGGTTCTGCAGAGGTGTCTGCTGCAGCCTCCAGCCTGGCCCACCTGGTTCATTTTGGGCAGATCCTTGATGGTCTCCTTCTGAGCCTCTCTCCTTGGCCCACATGCGAAGGTAGAGTCGGTAGTCTGGGGGGCTGGTCCCCTTCTCCTCTGTGAGTCAGGAGGAAAAGACATTAATCTCGGCCTGTCATGACAGAAAAAGGGCTTGAGCTTGGGGTCAGGGGGTGGGATGGGCCCTGTTACAAAGCACCTGCATCTGGGGAGGTGCTGATGGGGAGAATGCCCTGAAGAAGGGATGGCTCAATGGGATGAGGATGGTCCTGAGGCTGTGTTCTAGGCTGTGAGAGGTTGGCCTGAGGAGGTGAGAGCTCCACAGGGGACACCAGGCACCACAGGGGACAGCAGGGCCTCCAGCCAAGGTCACTGACCTTCAGGGCATGCCTGTCAACTGGGGGCCAGGCAGTGGGGGAGCTTTGCAGAAGTGACTGGGGATGGTCACAGCCCACATGAAACCCCAGACCTCAGCCCTGAGACCCTGACTGGCCGTCAGGGGAGAATGGCCTGTACCTGCTCGCTTTTCTTGGGTATCCTCGCTTCTGCTTCCTTCCCGATCTTCCTGTGGTAGTGCCTCTGCCAACCAGGAAATAACAACATGGAGCACATTCTTCTCCAGCTGGGACTGCAGCCCACCTCTGCCGAGGTCCAGCCTGTGCTTGTGCGGGAGCAGCCCCGGGTTCTGGTTCCCTGCACGGAGCCTCCTGCTTTGGCCTGACCCTGGGCTCTGCCCTCCGGCACCACCGTCAAGGAGGGCCTGGGCATTTCCCCACTTGATCACTGAAAGCAGCAGCAGCTGTATCCCACTCCGTGTTTGCTTCTTTGTTTTCTTTTTCCAGAAGACTACAAGTCTCCCCCATATGCAAACAGCAATGCGGTGTGATGGACAAGCCTGAGAACTGATGAATCCTGTGGTTTCGTTAGGAAAAGGTCACGTGTGTGGGATCACACCTATGACAGCTACACCAGGAGGGAAGGAACTTGACAGACATGAACCCTGTGCTCAGCACATCCGCTGGAGGAGGACCACACTGTGCGGTTCACGTGTGAACATGAACCTGGGGAGGAACAAGCTGCCCTGGTCTCCCAGGCCTGCTGCCAGAAGACAGGCGAGGACAGAAGTAGCCCAGCCCTCAACTGCCTCAGTGAGCATGGGTGACAGTGCAGGGCCTGGGGTGCTGTGGGGTCTGAGGTCAGGGTTCTGCACCCAGAAGCACACAGCACAAGCTTAAAGCGTCCCAGGTTGCCCAGGGTCCGTGTGTAACAGGAAGCACACCTGCTGCTTTGGCCTGTTACTGGAAGCCAAGGCCCTCCGGGTCCGTGAGCTAAGCCTTCACGGTCAGCAGAACCTGTGGGTCCTTCGACACACACACTATTTGTTTCCCCTTTGGGCCTGCCATATGACGTCACAGCACAGCATGGTCGCCAGCCGTGTCATGAAGTCCTGGGGTCCAGAAGGCACTTGGCAGCTTGTGCTTTATACTTTAAATGCAGTGTGAGGATAAGGATGGGTTCTAACGGCTCAACATCCGTATTTCTTCTCTTTGTGCTTTCTGAGGAGAGCATCTGCCCCACCCTGCCCGGCTTCCCCTGGTCCCTGTGGTCTGTTTCCCGCGGTTGCAGTGACCACCCCTGCTTTTCCTTCCTCTGCCTATGCTGACCCATGGCCCTGTGCATGTCCTCACCTACTAACCACCCCACAGCAGGACACACGTGCCAGTGGTAGAGTCCACCAGGCCTGGGAGCCTTGGGACAGGAGTGGGGATGGGGGTGTGAGGGGATGCTGCCACCCAAAGCCAAGGGAGCCTTCCTGTGCTCCGGGCACTGACCTTGAGCCTCCCAGGGCAGGGAAAGATCCCGATCAGAGGCCAGAGGAGATGCTGGGAGGACAGCATAGGAGCAGGAGGGCAGAGGGAGGAGGAGCCGAGATCCAAGAAGACAGACACAAGAGAAACAGGAGTGAGATCACTGCCTGCCCACAGGGACACCTGGCTGCAGGAAGCCAGGGTGGGCCCCAGCTTGAGACCCCTCTCAGGACACCCCAATGCCCCCAGCCCCCCAGCTGGAAGCCTCAGGGAGCCACTCACTTCTGAGGAGCTGTCTTCCGTGAAATAGTGGGTGGCCTCCAGGGCTGACTCGGCTTCCTCAGAGTTTAGGGCTGCACTCCGAGATGGGTAGAGTGAGAGTCTCACCTAGAGCAAGCATCCCAGCTCCTGGGCAGACCGCACCTGCCCTTTCCCGCTGGACTGGCCTGACCATCCTGGCCACCCTCCCCCTGCCACCATGACCCGTGTGGCAGTTTTAAGGCTGACTGGCTTGGATTATTTGCTACTTTCTGATTCTTAGGTGAGTATGTAAACACCCAGTGTCTTTCAGGTTAAAGTGCAATCAGTGCCTCATACAATCCAGGGGTGTGGGGGCACGTGCTCACCTGGGGGAAGGTGCAGCTTGTAGAGCACCTTGAGCTTTTCAGTCATGTCCCCGTGGTACATCCCGCCTGTGGGAGAAGGCAGGAGGAGGGCATGATGAGAGGGGCTCCCCAGGACGGTGCAGGCTCCAGGGGGCTGGGACAGGACCTCCTCACAGCAGCAGAGGGCCCGGGAGCCAGTCCCAGGCTTCCTCAGAGTATCGCCAGGCCAGCTCAGCCTTCCCTGCGGCCAGCTGCCCCAGCCCCACAAGGGAGGGAAGGACAGACTGGCCAGGGATGCCATGGGAAAAGGCCAAGGCAGGGTCAGGCCCCTGGAGGCACTCACTTTTGTTTTGGAGCATAGTTTTAAGATGTGTATATCTTTAAAATAGAAAGGCAGATTTACCAGAGAGAAGGAAAGAGAGAAGAAGATCTTCCATCCATTGGTTCCCTGGCTGGAGCTAAGCTGATCTGAAGGCAGGAGCCAGGAGCTTGTTCCATGTCTCCCATGTGGCTGCAGGGTCCCAAGGCCTTGGGCCATCCTTGATTGCTTTTCCCAAGCCAGAAGCAGGGAGCTCGAAGGGAAGTGGAACAGTCAGGATATAAACCAGCACCCACATAGGATCCCAGTGCATACAATGTGAGGACTTTAGCCACTAGACTATAAATCTTAATTTTTTTCCTTTTTGCCTAACAGTCAACGCCAACCTAACTTGAATCCAGTGCCTAACTTGAGTCAGTCTGATCATTTGGAAGAAAGGTTCCCTTGTCCTGGGGCTACTGAGGGGATAGCGTGTCCCTGGAGCTACAGACAGCCATGGACTCTGCAGGAAGCGCAGTTCAGAGAACATCAGACGGTGAGAGAGTGTACAACACTGCATCTGAGTCCCTGGATCCAGCCAGGCCTGACACTGTCTCCCTCAACTCTGCAGTTCCTTGAGCCCATGAACTTCTGCTGTAAGCTGCCTTGTGCTTTCTAAGGGAGTGTTCTGCCTAAACTCCAACAAGGCTTAACTTCTACCACTGCGACTTCACAGCAAGTGCATGCACGGATGCTTCCAAACCCCTTCTCTTCCGGCAGGAACCTCTGTGCTGAGGATGCTCTTGGAAGACAAGGTCACAGTTACAGGTCCCGTCCTTGTTCTCGGCTCTTACCTTAAACACCATGTAAAGGTCTTCCAGCTCTTCTGTGGAGAAGCCAGTGTCCCCAGGTATGGCTCGGACCTAGAAGAAAGAGACAGGCTGGGCTGAGGGACTCTCAAGTGCCTGTTGCAGCAGGAGACAGATTGTCACAGGGACCAGGGCAAAGGCACGAGCTGCCCCTCAGTGTGGCAAGTCGGCCATCCCACTGAGGGCAGGGCCTTGCCCTGCTGGCCTCTCACCACCCAGCCTGCCACTCAGTGCAAGCTCCCTGAGGTCTGTGCCCTAGTGGGCTGAGAGTGGGGGACATGGGACATTGTTTAGTTCCTCCTGTCTGGACCTCTGCTGTGACCCAGGTGCCAGCTCTTGGGAAGGGGTCCTGAAACCACCAGCCAGCTGCTCTCAGTCAGCTGGAGCCATCCGTTTCTGTCACTTGTGACCTCAGAGTGTCTGAAAGGTTTGTGGGGGGCACTGGGGAAGTGGGAACGAGGTTGGCAGTCAAGAGACCATGAGTAGATCCTGTGGCAGGGGCACCTGCACCCATCCAGGGATGCGGAGGATGAAGGCTGGAGGCAGAGGCACGGCACGCAGGTGCTCAGAGGGCAGCTGTGGGATGCTCGGGGCGAGGGGAAGGGACATGTGGCAGAGCTTGGGAGACAGAGGGTGCTATGCCTTGGGGGAACGGGGCTTCAGACAGGCTTCCCACTGGCCCATCTGGGAGCAGAATAAAACGACCATGTCCTCTCCCCGCCATGCCCCTGCCTGGTCCCACACATCCTAATGCTGACACTGGTGGTGAGGCAGCAGGGGAGTGTGCGTCCTGCCCCACAGACAGGCCTGAGTGGAAGCCCCCCACGCCCACATACCACGCTCCTCTTGGCTGTGTCCTCCAAGCACTGGATCACTCTCAGCCTGTTTAAACCGCATCTGCTCAGTGTCGCTGGCCCGCAGGATGCTGAATTTCTGCAGGCAGGTGGGGATGATTAGGTGAGACAATGCACAGCCATGGGGTGCAGGGCTGTCACCCCCCAAACCTCCCCATGGAGTGCTGACCTCATAGGAGGCTTTGAGGAGGTCAAAGATGTCTGTCTGTGTGGGAGGCTCGTCTCCACTGGTCAGCAAGGCATGGAGGTGTGGCACTGGTGGGGAAGTACTCTGCTCATTGACCACATTGTCCAGACATCTGTGTGGGCAAGGGGTCAGACATCGAGACCACTCATAGTTATGGCAGACCCTCCAGGAGGATAGAGTGTGCCCCAGCAGACATCCTGGAAAGTCAGGGAGCTCCCCTCAGGCCTCAGCCCCTCCCTCGCATTAGGCTCTGCACGTGGAAGGTGCCGGGCTATCTTTTGGGGCTCCATGGACAAGGAGCTTGTTTAAGGCCACATGTTGGGACCTAGTCTGGCCAGGACCCCCTGACCCCTGCTGTGGCTCCTGCTTAGCAACCAAAGATGTCCTGACAGTTAGGCTTACCACTTCACAGGACCTCAGAGTGGGTCGCTGCAACTCTGCATCCCAGACAATGGGAAAGAGGGCATGACAAAACAGACTTGACAAGAACATCACACACAGGAACTGCAAGGCTCTGCTGTCACTGGGAGATTCAGAGCCACAAGCTGACTTAGGTCTCAAAGCTACTCCTGACAACACCAGAATCTGAACTTGGCCTTCTGGCTTCCAGCTGGAGGCCTGCATGAGGTGAAGTTGGCCGTGGCAGATCTATGCTAAGGTGACCCCTGTCAGCAGGCCTCTGGCAGGGCTCTTTACACACTGATGACAGCATAAAGCAAGATCTGAGTTTTGCAGCACTAAATGTGCAGTGGGGCCTGTTGGGTTCCTGGGAGCAGGAACACACACCAAGTGACTGAATGCCTTCAGCAAGGGAGCATGAGCCTGGAGAGGGCAAGGGTGGCAGGGTGTGCAGAAAGGCCAGGCCAACCTCAGTGGACCCCAGGGTGTCACGATGCCCTTTTGGCTGAGTTAATTTCATGAGATGAGCAGGGAGCGAAGGGAGCAGGCAGAGAAAGGAGTTGGCTCCACACAGGCAAGAACAGGAAGCTGAGCTTTGGGGGGTAAAAAGCTCATACTTCAACAGTTCTGTGTGTGCTTGGTGATCACTGGGAGCAAAGTGGAAGCAATATTCCCTATCACCAACCTTCTGGGGTGGCCAGGTGCCCCTGGGAGTGCCCAAGTCTGGGATGTCACGTTTGTGCAACAGCTGGGCCGACTCGGGCTCCATTTCCTGGTGGGAGGAAAGTACTGTCAATAGTCCAGTCCTGCCAGCACAGTGCCCCGCAGCCTCCCTGGCAACCTGGCTGGCCACAGGAGGTAGGGAGCCTCCATGCAGCCACTCAGCTGCAGCCCAATGGCAGATGGGCTGTCCTGTGCTTGCCAGGCAGCTCTGCCCCACGGCTGGTCCATCTACCTCCCATGGCGCCTCAGGCGGTGTCTGCAGAGAGCTGAGCTCCTGTGCAGTCTGCAGTATCTGCTTCGCCAGTGTAAACCTCCTGCCCCGGTCAACACCCCTAAGCCCCTACCCCTTGATGTCACCGTGTGAGCTGCTCACAGAGTTCAGCAAGCATCCCTGTGTCAGCAAGCAGCGCCTGTCTCATCAGTCCCCACCTGAGCCTCCTGGAGGGCACTGGGTACAGCCTGGCACCTTTTGCTGGGCAGCTCCTGACTGAAGGGAGGGTCTGACTCCTCCATGTCGGATGAGGACTGTCCATGGAAACACACTCCTCCTCCCAGCTCCAGTTCCGGGGAGTCCTTGTGCAGACACTTCAGCCAGCGGCTCTCAGAGGGCTGTGTTGGGAAGAACAGGAAAGCAAGCCCTTTGACTGCAGCTCTCACACCCAGGGCTCAGGGATGGTGCCTGCTGGCGAGGCCTTGGAGAGGCAGCAGAACCCTGAACGTCCATGCTCCCTGACCCAGTGACCCCACACAGACAACAAAGGCACAGAGATACTCGTGGCGCTGTAGACGCCATTGTTTAGAAAGTGTGGAGACAGCCTCAGGCCCTCAAAAAAGGGATCAGTGCCAGCAGCCCGCTTTCCACCATATTCTGTTTTAAAAAATGAAAATACCTGGAAACTGCAACAACACAGAAGCATTTTGTCAGTGAAAACTTAAGCAAACAAGCCTTTTCTTGATAGAAAAATGATGTAACATTAAGCATTCGAGTGGCTGACCCGGAAGCTCAGGTGCTGAGAGCTGCTTCTTTTATTTGTGGGTGTGTGCGCGGGGGGGGGGGGGGGGGGGACGGGAATTGATTCAAGGTCACAGTTTGGAAGACCCTGGCCCAGGGCAGTAGGGATAAGAGAGGGACTAAGACTTGGTTGGGGGTTGAGGGAGGAGGCCCCACTGAGGTGGAGTACACCAGCTCACAGGCAGGATTGGCATGGGGGAGGTTGTTAAAGCCGTTGTTGAAACAGCCATGCTGTCCATAGTGCCAGGAAGCCCGCTGTCAGCCAGAATCTTCGGAATTTAAAAGGAAACGGGTGACAACCAGAGTAGAGCATGGAAGCTCTCCCCAGGCTGGCCTCGGCGCCCTGGGACTGCTGTGTGTGCCATGAGGAGCTCTCCATGCCTTCGTGCCTTGACACTCAGGTCCCAGATCCTGGCCTCATTGAAGGCAGAGGCTCCAGGAATTCTGGGCCAGCAGGTGAGCAGGGCTGCCTGGGTCTGCGATGCACCACTCAGCTGGTCCCCACACTTTGCTTCCTCCACAGGCTGAGCTGTCTAGAACCCGAGACTCACCCAGGTGGTGGCTGGTGGCGTCTGCCTCCTGGATGAGCAGGTGCCTGGCTCCCGCAGGGATCTCAAACATCTTGATGTAGCCTTGGTGCAAGTGCAGGAGGACAAGGCCCAGTGAGAAGTCGGCAAGCCCCACCCACCCACTGTGGGCTCTGACCACCCACCAGGAGAGGGGCCAAAGGGAGAGTGGCTCCAGCCCCTCTGCTTGTCTTCAGACCCAGACACCCCACTGGCCTCTTCCACTGGAAACACAGTGGGGAGTCCAGGCTGCATTCCTCCAGGCAGGGATTCAGAGCTGCCATGTTTAGGAGGGAGGCTCTGGGTACTCCACGTGACCTGTGTAATTCTCAGCCACTTGCTCTGCACGTGTCATCAGACATCCAACCTCTGGTAGGGCTGTACTAAGGCCAGCCCACAGCCCCTGTCTTTAGGACCTGGACCAGCACCGGGTACAGGATGAGGTCCACGTGGTCACTCTATCACTTTATTCTCAAAGAGGTCAACTAAAGTGGCTTCTCCCCATTTCAGAGGTGGGCTGACGGAGGCCCAGAGGGATGCAGTTGGTAGCTGCTGGCCTGTGCAAAGAGCTGAGGCCTGGTGGAGGCACAGCCCCAGGCATGAGTGTGGTTTGAGCACATCTGGAAGGGCCCTGTGTGCTGCTGCTGGTGGTGGTGGTAGTTAGGAAGTAGTGGGACCTACAGGGACCTGGTGGGAGTCAGTCAGGTCAGGGCCTGGGGGCCCTCTACCACTCAGTGCCACCCTTTCCACCTCATGTGGTCTAGGCCCTGTAGGAACCCAGGTCACATCCAAATAAACCTCTTCACTCACATGGTGCCCAAGTCTGGACAGTGGTGACAACAATGCAAGAGACAAAGACAGAAACCCACCCCAGAGCCTGTCTCCCCTGGTGAGAGACCCATAGCACCTAGCCCCACCCAAGGCGCCAGAGAAGTCAGACCTTCCATGCTTCCAGGTCACCTAGCAGCCCAGGGAAGTGCTGCTGAAAGCCAGCTGGGGAGGAGCCTGCTGCAAGACAGAACTCCAGTAGAGCTTCCTAAGGTCTGTTCTCTGCCCTGTCACCTGGGGCCCTCTCCCTTTGCTCCCCACTCCCCCACCTCTGCCAGGACAGGACTGACCCAGGGGCGGGACTCACCGTGCCTCTTGGGGGAGCGTGTGAACGTGCCCTTAACCACCTTGCACCAGGTGTTGTCTCCTCCGCACACACCACACTTGTCCTCCTGCTTGCTGGAGCCGATCACCCCATCACAGCCCACCTTCTGCAGGGGAAGCAGGCTGTGAGTAACCTGCACACCCTCTCCTCGCCCTAGCACCTGCCTGTGACCTGGCACCAGTTACCCCTTTGCCCACTATCAGGGGGGGAAAATCAGGCTCTGGTTTCAGGAGGAAGACAAAGCCTGCTAGCCGTCTTCCGGGAGTGTGACCTGAATGATGCCCCCTTGCAGGCCCAGAGGTCCAAGGGTTAGGACACAGCAGGCCTTCAGGGGACACCCTTGCTCTGGCACTGTACAGCAGAGGCCTGGCTTCAGAGGCTCTTACCTTAAGGTCCACTCCCTGGCCAGTCCACTCAACACCGCTACACCTGCACTAAAATTTTCCTTCCCAGAGGAAAGGCAATGCTCTGCTCCAGGCCACCTGGGGGAGGCAACAGCATACTGAAGTGATTTGATTTTCCATGGTCCTAGCAGTGTCCACTGCGAGGCTCAACAAGGAAAATCCCTCTTTGGGGCTAGTCTGTGCCCACTGACCACCCTCAGAGTGCTTGATGGCATCACAGATTCCCCCCTTCCTCTTGGCTGCCAGGAAGCTCGGTGCTAATTCTCCCTTAGCAATCTTCCTGCACCAATTAGGAGAAACTCTTCCTCCTGGCACTGTGTGTTCTGGTGCTGGTCTTACCAGGACCACGGTGGGTAGGGGGCTCTAGACCCTGACAAAGCTAAGAGCAGCTCCTCTGTAGGGGCTCAAGTTCGCAATCTTTGGTTTTCAGCTTTTTCATTCACTTTTGGAAGTGAGCAGGGTAAAAGCATTCCGTACAAGGAGCACGCTTGTGTTCACATGGGTGGTTCTAGAGAAAAACCCATCTACCAAAAGGAGGCAGCATGGTGGGCCCAGCCTGGGAGCACAGGCATCACCCCTGTCTGTGCACCCCCACAGTGTGCTCCCTAAACACTGTTTGTAACAGCAATGGACCTGATGTTGCTCTCTAAGCACAGGGTAGCTGGCTGGCTAGGACCTGGCCCCAGACATTACCCTGCAGATCTTGGGAACTCGTGTTTGGGTAGAATTCTTGGCAGCTGTCAAGATGGTGCATCCTGGTGTGCACACAGAGTCTGGCTTATGAATTATGCCTGGAATTGTGAGCTCTTTCTAACAAGGGTCCTACCAGGCAACTGGACAGGCTGCAAGAAGATGGGGAAGAGGAGGGAAGGGAAGTACAGCATGCTATGAGAAGCCACAGTGGTTCTGGGGTTTCCTGCTGAGAGGCACAGAGTGGGTCACAAGGGACAGAGAACAGCCAAGCTCTGCGTCCAGCAGTGCTGGCAAGCTGCAGCAGCAGCCTGGCATCCCTTTTTCTGGAAGTTTGGAGGGATATTGTCTGGCAACAGATAAGGCAGTTACTGGCGTTGCTCTTGCCAGGCAATGCAGCCCTCTCAGGGTTCCCAGGGACAACATCTCATCCTTGGAAAAGCCCCTGATGATGCAGGTGCCATTCAACACTCAGCATCATGCAGCTGGCCTCACTCAGGTAGGCAGGAACACCAGGCAGATGAGGCTGTGAAGGGTAAATGATGCTGCTAGCCTACCAGCTCTTCCCTTTAATTCTGAAAGGGCTGATGGTGCAGAGAATAACTGGGGTGGAAGATGTTGCAGTGCTAGCGGGTGACTATCCCCTGGGGGTAGGGTTGGGGGCAGTGGGGAGCTAACGAGGTCTGGCTTTTCTGTCTGTGATACAGTCCTGTCCATCAGCCCCTCCCTACTGTACAGAGGTTTTACAACCTGCATGCGGTGATGCGTTCTGAATTCACCGAAGCATGGACCCTGTCGGCCTCGCTCATGCCTGCTTCACCAAGCCACTGCCGTGTGTGCCACACCTGGGGCAGGTCGGCACACCTCTTCTCTCTCCATCTTTCTGTGACCTGCCGGGGATCATGGTAACCTTCTCACACGGCCTTCCTGATGCATTCTGCTTCCTGTATTATGACTTTCATGGTACATCTTTGTGGGGAACAGCACAGAAATATAATCTGCAGATGCCACAGGCCCTGTTTAAAGCCATTGGGTTTAGATGATCCCCCAACAGCTACCTGGTGTTCACTCATGTTAGGTTCCCAAGAGGGTATTAGGACATTTGACCTCCTCTGCTTCTGTTGTCCGGATCAGAGGTGAGGTTGCAGTCATGCCCATGAGATGGTGAATTAGCACACCCAGGTTCAGAACCATGGACAGCTGCTTCTACTGCTAACGGCGCCCCCTACTGAGGGCCAGCACTGAGTGAGTGAGAGAGAGAGAGAGAGAGAGAGAGAGAGAGAGAGAGAGAGAGTGTGTGTGTGTGTGTGTGTGTGTGTGTCCGT